CTGCTGGAAAGGCCTCCTGGCTTTCTGTTTTCCATGGCAAGCAGAGCTGGCAAGCATCCTCACTGCATAAAGAAATATACCAAGCCTTCGCTTCTTAGGGCAACATACTCCGCACAGGGGAAGAACAAACACGAGCTTTGATTTACCAGCATGGCAAGTAAAATCACCGCTGTAAGTGTGACACTACAGGCCAGAAGTCCTGGAGCTGTGGAGTCATCTAAGGGTGGATGCCTGTGGGATGGTCTGTCTGTAACGGGGTAACGCCAGAGCAGGCACTGAACTGAGCAGTGATGATTCATGGAAATTCCATCAGCAAAGGTATTCTTTGCTTTATTACAGGCTAAACTGGGGAGCCACGTCATTCTGGAAGGAATGTGTATGAAGTGCTCAGATGAGGACTTGAAGTTTTGTAGACTGGAGTCACATTAATTCAAACCATCTGCTGAAGGTCAAGCTGAACCCACCACTTTTTTCATACATCTCACATTTTACATCAATTCAGTATAATAGATACTTGCTGAAGGCCCATGGAGCGCCAGACACTGGGGTTACAAAGATGAGCGACACAGTGGTCCCTGTTTCTGAGATGTTTATGATCTAATGGAAGCAAAAGTTGTATGTTTATGTGTGTTTTCCTCCCCTTGATTATGAGGTCAGAGTCTATTTGTATGCATCTTGGTTGCCAAGGTTGAACATTGTCAGTCCATTTTTGTCAATGAAATAGTACATGAAAGAGCTCACAGTAATTTATCAAATATGGCTACTGAAATTGTATAACAAGTTGTGCATTATTGGTGCTGCGATAAGTAGATTTGCGTTGCAATTGCCTCTTGATACAGAAAACACTCCGCACAGTGAGATAGTGACCAAAACTGTGGCATTAGAAAACAATAAAAATACTGGAATGACTGACAGACACAAGCTATTTTGTTCCCTGAGGCTTAAAGTAGGTTTTTAATATGATGAGAAAGCAGTTCTTATGGGATATGTTTGGTAAGATATTGGTCGTATTAAACATGGTCACAAATGAGATCAATCACTTCATTTTTAATTTGAAAGGTACAGTGGTAAGCACTTTAGAGATCACAAAGAAAAAAAGGGCCTGTTCAAAAACAGTTTACAATCCAATAATGCTAGTATGCTTAACTAGCCCATACGTGTGTTCACAAACCATTTTATATAGCAAATGAAATTGGTGTGTAAGTGCATTTTTCTGAGGAGTGCATTCATCATATTGTGTTCCTGAAAGATTAAGATCTTCCGTAGTAGAGCGATTTAACAGGAGGAAGAATTACACTGTACCGGAATTACAAAGAGTGTGAGGGTTTCAATGAGGGGTAATCTAGGCTCAACATTGAGGCTGGAGGAAGACAGCATTTAACAACTCAAAGGACACGTGGGATTCCAGCAGGCTGGAGGCGGGTAAGGGCCCCTGAACTGGAAAGATCACCGTAAGGAGAGAGACAAGGTACAGAAGTGCAATGCTTTCTTTGGGGCAAGAACTGGTAGTTTGTAGCATAAGCTGGAGGGCAGAGGTAGGCAATAAAGTCATCAAGTCTTAGGTCCATGCTGTGAGAAGCCCTCCAATGTTTACTGAATGCTTAGAATAGAGCTTTAAAAATACCATTGATTGCTCCTACAGTCTATGCCACCTCAGCATCTTAGATGCCACCAATGTAAGCATCTTTATGTTTGCAGTAGACAAACTTCTTTAACAGAACAAAGAAATATTTAAAAGCTATCAATTATAGCATTTAAATGCTATAGGGGCATTGCCATTTAAGTTAAGGGTGGGCCAGTTTAAGACCAGACTGAGGCTAAAGCCAAGAAAAGTGAAATGAAAATGAGTATAGCTCAGAGGGGCTGTCTAGGCATGTAAAATTCTGATTGCTAAGGATAACATCTGCCTGGATTGCACTATGAAGGGAAGACAGGGATTGGTGCACATGTGGAGGGAGAAGGAGTCGCCGAGGACAGCCTCTTCCTGGTAGGCAGAGGCATTGTAGAAACATGAGCATGGCAAGGCCATCTTTCACTAGTTCTCATCAACCATGAAATTTTGCTTGAAGCAAAATGTTTACTGTGTCACTGGGAAAGGATATTAAAGCAACATCATAGATGGATTTTTCTTTTTCATTTTTTCCAAAATTTCTCAGTTAAGGATATATTACTTTTACTTACTAGAAATAAGTAATTTAAAATCACTGTGGTCAATTAGGTAATGTTTTTACAAAATTGTGATCATATGGCATATGTAGTTCTATGTATTCTGCTGTTAACTTAATGGTATCCTGAGCATTTCCCAGGTCAGTTTCTTCAAAAACATGTATTTTAAATAGCTGTATAATGTCCCATGAATATACCATCATTTACTTACTCTTTTTTTCTGTTTTTTTCTCTCATAACAGTGGACAAATGGATAAATTTTTTTGTCTGTTTCTGGACAGGTTCATATAAGTGAAACTATTTGATCAAACTGTATAAATTCTTTTAAGGTTCATAAACACATGATCATATTGTCCTTCAGAATTGCAGCCCCACAATTGATTCCTCTGTGAGCCCATTGTACTGTACTTCACCCCAAAGAGTGTTTTCATTGTAAAATCTTTGCCAAGTTTGTAGGGGAAGGGTTTTCTGCTGCCAATGATAAATGCTTTTTCACACTTTATCATTAGTTATTTTGTCTAAGAGTTAGTTATCTGTTGCTATTCTTTTCCCACTTTTCATTTTGTTTTAGGATTTATTTCTAATTAATTTACACAAGTTCTTCGCATCTTGATGGTACTTGCCTTTTGACATTGATGTCTACGGTGAACCTGTCCCTCAGTTTGAGGACTGCAAAAAATGTGATTTTTTTTCAGATGCACAATTTAATATTTTTATAGTCAAATCTTCAGGTATTTTTTCTTTAGTAATTTATTATATTTAAATTCCTTCCCATCCAGAAATCAGATATTCATGTAAATGTTCTTTTAGTCTGTGCTCCCAGTTTTTTCAGGGTGTTCTCTGCTTTCTGGTTTCTTCTCTGTACCAGGGAATGTCGACGGTGTGTTGATACAGAGAGGCAGGAATGAAGGTGAGGCTCGCCTGTCATATTAGTGGAATTTCTACAGTGGTGGTTAGTACTGTGGTGCTTGGAGACGGTCTCGCTGTCTTTGAACCCGGCTCTGTCACTTACTATGTGATTTTTGAAGTCACTTCTCTGTTCTTAGGTTTCCTTACATGTAAAATAGGTTAATAATATAACCTATCTCACATGGCTATGAGTATAAAATGATTGGTATGTGAATCACTTAAAACAAGTTCTGGTACAGTCAGTGCCAGCCACAGTTTGGTCTATGCCCGGTAGGTGCACTGAAGCTTAATATTGTGTCATTATACTTGGCATTACTAAAACTTGAGCATTTCAAGTGTTATTCCTCGGCTACTTTCGTAAGTGAGATGCGCCCCCTAGAGGCCACAACGGAAGTTTATTTCCAGTTCTTGAAAACCCTACGGGCCTCAGTGGGAGCTGGGGTGGCTCTGAGCCGCGCTTCCGAGCCTGCAGTCTGAGAGCCTTTCTCCCCCGCGCTTCCCGCTTCTTCGACCCGCGCTGCTTCTCCCTGAGCCCGATGTCTTCTGATTCCGTAGACCTCGGGGCGATTTCTGCTTGTGTGCCCTCATTCATTCATTCCAGACGATTTGCTGGGTGCTTACTATGTGCAAAGCGTTAGTGGCTGGGGAGGCGGGAAGTGTACTGAAGGTAAAAAAAAAAATCTGCCTTTATAGGGAGTGCTATCCAATAGCAAAAAAAAAACAGAGTATGTATATAGACGAGCAAACGAATGATGACTGTTAGTTTCTCTAAACTGAGGCTAATACGACCTACCTTACAGGACAGGATGACTGAGCGAGTAGACGAGAAAAAAAAAGCCCCTAATAGTGAGCCGGGTGCGAAAAAGGCCCTATTCCTCTTCAGGTCTTTCCCCCGATCGAAAGTGATGAGGGCCAGCCCTGTGGGCTAAAGCGCCACAGTTTCGATTTGTGGACACTCTTGGCCGTTCCCAGACGGTCCCGCCGCTTCGCTCTAGGGTTCGCGTCCCAGCACCGGCGCTACCGCCGCCCGGAGCGACCACCAGCACAGGCGGGACCCTCGAGCACCGCGAGCGCCCCCTGGCGGGCGCGCGGTCCGCGCTGGGGGGCGGGGCTTTGGCCCCGCGACTTCCGCTTCCGGTTTATACAAACTCTCCCGCCACCAGCCGAAAGCGAGTGTCAACGTTTGTGTGTTTTCGTGTTTGGTGTGGTTGCAGGTAAGAGAAACTCCTAGGATTTAGGACGGACCTCAGTCCTGGTATTGAGGCTCACAAATCGAGAAAAAAGGGCGATCCCTTTGCGGGCGGTGGGGGCTGAAAGGTTGCCTGGCGGGGCGGGGAGGTGTCGGCCCCGGTTGGTTGGCGGGGGCAGAGGCGTAGGTGCCGCGAGTTGAGGCGGGGGAGGGTTGGGGGTGGGCATTTCTGTAAGGACCTTGTGGATGCTCCCCAAGAGGACTTCTGAAAGACTGGATTCGAGAGAGGTTCTGTTTCCCAGAGTCTTAAGATAACAAGTGACCGGCCCGGGTCCTTTAGGTCTCTTATCTAACCAGAACCTAGCGCGCTTTCCTTCGAGTTCAGGACTGCAACCCGGATTACATCTCCCCCTAACCCTGGGGGGGCTGCAGAGACCTAAGGGCGCTGTCGCGCACACCTCCAGGCGCCGTCACCTGACCCTGGTGTTGCTGGAAGTTAGGACCATCACCTGGCTCTCCCCTAGCACGCACCTCCCCCTACCCGCCTCGGTACAAAATTGTTACAGGTGTAGTGTAGAAAATCTGGAAAAGGCAGAGAGACGTCACGCGGGGATAACCACTGTTAACATTTCGTGCGTGCTCTTCAGTGTTATCTTTCTGTGCATATGGACTTAGTTTTTGCTTGTTGTTTTCAACTTTACGTCATTTTAATCACTTTATGTGCTTTCTTCCCAAGGTAACAATATGCTGTTTTCTGGAGAAAAGCGGAGGAAACTGAGGTTATTAGCAGGTGACCAGAGGAGTGCGTGCTACCCGCACAGCCTTCAGTTTTACTTGGAGCCACCTTCTGAAAACGTATCTTTGACAGAGTTTGAAAACTTGGCTATCGACAGAGTTAAATGTGAGTGATATTTGAATTAGAATTTATATATTCTTAAGAAACTCACTTGTACTTTGTGGCGATGAATGAGGATAATTTATTTCCTTCATTCAAGCAATATTGAGGGTTTTCTCTTCATTCATTTGCTGTACAGTGCATGTTTATTGAGTGCCCGTATATTCTAGGTGGCAGGGATTTGAGATGGATACTGTGATTTCTCGTTGAAACTGTTCTAGTACATGGAGACAGTCATCCAAAGTAATAGTCATAACTTAGTATTTTTAAATGCTTTTGTGGAAGTAAATACTAGTGCTATTGAAACATAGGTGGGAGTGACTTAATTCTATTAAATAATACTTAGAAAAATGAGATTTGGACCTTGAAGGATATGTAGAAATTTCTCAGCAGAGAAGTGAAGGGCTTTTCCAAGCTGAGATACTGTACAAAGGCCTGGAGGCGTGAGGGAGCATGCCGTATCTGAGGAACAGGAGTAAGTTCAGAGTGGATTGAGAAGTATGGGTAACCGAGGACACTCTGTGCCACACCGATGGTATAACATTGGGGTGTAAGAAGGATGTGGCAACTGTACTGGGGACTTATTTATCCTCTCTGTGGTGGTGGAAGGAAGAAAGAGGCTAGTCATGAACTGAAACAGAAATAACAGCACTGTCTTCAGAGTTTATGTTCCAGGATATCCTGTACAAGAATCAGAAGGAGAGGTGAGATACTGTGAACCGTGCTTAAAGGAGCAGGGTGAGAGCTGCTAACAGACGGGGCTCAGTACCTGTTTGTTGAGTGAAAGAGAGAAGGCCAGGGAGGAAAGGGTGTTAGGAAGATGGCAGTGTCAGGTGCTTCACAGAGATTAAGAGGATGACTGAAAAGTCCCCTGGGCTTGCCACTGGAGAGACAAGATGTTAGGGCCTGAATGAAGGCGGTGGTGGTGTGAGAAGGGAGAGACTTACGGGATACTAGGAGGCATTACTGACCACAGGTGGAGATTGTTGGGATGTGAGGAGGGGGAGGGTGGGGGAGGGGGCTGAAGCTCCAGCTTGGATGGTCTGGTGGGTGGGAACTCTGCCCAGAAGAGGAGCAGGACCCAGGGAAGGTGATTCGTTTGGTTTGGATCACCTTACTAAGAGGTACCTGTGCGACATGGACTTATGTTCAGGACTCATTTCAGGAATTTTTCACTGTTTAAAAAACACCTCTTTCCATACTGATGGATGCAGAATTCACCTGAGAGGGGATTGACAAGGGGCTTTGTGGACCTTTGCATACTACATAGCGTCTATTCAGGACGGTTCATTCAGATGATTGGAGGGCCCTGCTTCCTCCCTGTCGGGTCTTCTTCCTCTTTGCTTCATCAGGAAGGGAAGGGCTGTCTTTTCCTGACGACTCTGCTGAGTGTAGCAAGTGGACTGCCTAACAGAGCTCCATGTGAGGGATGCAGTCAAGGAGTGCGTAAACCTTTTTCGTAGGGACAGTTTTTTATTCCTCGACAATGGTCGCTCCGTACAGCAGTGATTAGCCCCCATCGCTCCCTCCCTGCTGGTTGAGAATTCCTGGTATTAGATTATACTGTGGGACATGGATATTTGCTGCATGTGGGTGGAGATTACCCTCTTATAAACATAGGTGATTTGTATAATATACTTGCAGAAAATAAAACTGTTAGAACTGGTTATTGCTAGCCATAGATTTTATTTCTCTTGCTTTTAGTTTTTAAAAACTTGCATTTGTACGTTTTTTCTTTTTTCTGTTTTAAAATTTTTTGCAGTGCTAAAATCAGTTGAGAATCTTGGTGTGAGCTATGTGAAAGGCACCGAGGAATACCAGACTAAGTTGGAGGCTGAGATTCGAAAGCTCAAGTTTTCCTACAGAGTAAGTAAAAGCAGGAAATATGTTCTTTCCATTTAGACATATTCATGTACTGAATATCAATTTTGGGAAAGCTTTTATAGTAGGCACAAGGCTTAAAAAAAACGATACAGCATAGACTTTGCCTGAAGGTACCTGTAGTCTGGGGTGGTTGACACACAGTCAGATGGTTATAATACAGCAGGGTTTCTTTACCTCAGGACTGTCAGCATTTCGGGCCTGATAAGTCCATGGTGCAGGGACTGTCCTGTGCTTTGTGGGTTGCTTAGTAGCATCTCTGGCTTCTCCCCAGTAGATGTCTCTGGACATCGCTAGATGTCCCCTGTCTATACAGAATGGTGAATGCTGTTAGATGTGTGCTCCAGCAACTCCAAGAGCACATATAATTACCTGGCTTGGATGGGGGAGGTGTGGGAAGGCTTCCTAGAGGAGGTGGTGCTGAAACTGCATTTTAGTGGATGTGATCAGCTTTTTATTTTGGGAAGATGATTGTCAACAGCAGATCGACAGGGTCATGTCTGGTAGGAGGAGAACCAGTTTGCAGACTGGATGTGAGAGTGAGTTGAATGGAGGGAAGAGGACTGATTCAAGAGATATTGAGAAGGTAGCACCAAAAGATTCTAGTGACTGATTGCAGGGCGAAGGGGGAGAGGAGTTAGGGTTGCCACCCTGGTTTCTGGTTAGGACAGTAGGTGGATGGTAGTGATATTTCGAGTTGTGATATATAAGAGGAGAAGCAAGTATTGGAAGATGTTGAGTTTACTTCTAGATAAGAATTTGAAGTGCATGTGGAGAAGTCTAGTGGACAATGGGATATGCATACTGGTCTGGACTTAGGAGACATCTGGAGATTAAGAGGAGAGTTGGAATCATCCCAGGAGCAGGAAAATATTTGAGTAAGAAGAGAAGATGATGGAGGACAGGATGTGAAGAATACCAGTATTTAAGGTGATGTGGGATTGGAGGAGTCTGGGAAGGAGAATTGAGAAGTAGGGGATCAGCCAGGATAACAGTGTCATGGCTGGAGTTTCAATAATAATGATCGTGATATCATAATGATACCATAGGAATCACAACAGCAAACATTCGTAGTGTGCTTACTGTGCCCCAGGGTATGCTCTAAATGTATGCAGTGCACACAACAGTCTTATGGGGTAGGTTCTGTCCATTTTGCAGATGAGGAAGCTGAGTTATTGACTGGCTAAGTAACTTGCCCAAGCTCACAAGGCAGTAAGTGGTGGAGCTAAGATTCAAATCTGGACGCTTTGTTTTCGTGGTGGTGCTCAACCACGCAATTTCAGAAGCTTAGGATAGATCATGTAAGGTGCGCTGTGCAGCATCCATTGGATTTATCAAGTGGGTGGGATAGAGGCAGAAGCCAGAATGATGGCCGAGTTTGGAGGAGTGAGGTGGGTAGGAGTATGTACTCTTTTAAGATGTTTAACTGAAAAGATGAGAGAAATAGGTCTCAATAAAGAATAATTTGTAGGAAAAGAGAATATACAAACTCACATGGCAGGAGCATACTTGAATGTATTGATAAGCTGAGCGTAAAGATCTAGAAGAGCAAGAAGATGAGCTTGGAGATACTAGGAGAGAACGCTCGATGAGTCACGGTCCTTGGCAGGCGAGAGCAGGTGGGCTGCAGGGTTTATGCGGGGTTGATTTTCTGTAGGAGGAAGGAGAGAAGCGTTGTCCCCGAGGATGCAGGGGAAGGTAGTTTAACATGAGGATGCAGACGTAGGAGGACTGGTGGCCTTTACTGTCTGTGAATATAAATATAAATCTGGGAAGGCTGTGTGGTAGGCAGCGTGGGCCCGTGAGGGAAGACCGAGACAGCTTTTCTAAGAAGTGAGGAAAGATGATTATGTATCAAATCCCAGCTCTGCTGCTTATAGGCTTGTGAATCTGGGCAAATTATGTAACTTCCCTGTGCCTCAGTTTCCTCATCTTTAAAATAGGGATATAATAGTTCCCGCCTTATAAAGCTTTTTAAAAGTTTTAAATGGATTAATAATTAAAATGCCTGTAACAGTGCCTTGTACCTTGTAAGTGCTTGAGACATGTTTGCTCTTCCTGTGTTAGACTTTAAAGAAAGATTCCTTGGTGTTGTCAAAGGTCCAGATGGGGACAGAGGGTGTGAACTTGTAATATTCCAAATTCCTGTAATTGTGTTTTTTTCCCCAGAGGCTCTCAGCATTTTGGGAAAAGGATGCAGAGTATAGGTTGATTTAAAATCTAGGTCTTGAAAACGGTTGAAATGAAAGCAGTTGAGGGTTGATGTGAGAAGTGGGTGACGAGGTGAGTACCCTAGGTATAGGCTGGATAAGAAAGAAAGTTAAGAGGGAGGAGTTGATAGGAAGAAAATGGTGGAGTCCAAACCTAGGAAACTGCTGAGATCAGTTCAGTTCTTAGTTTCACCTGATTGCTGATTTAAATGATAATTGTCCCAGAAAAGGTGTTACAAAATTTGTGTTTTGACATGTTTACTTTACCGTTGCTGTATGTTGACTCAGTATACCTCTTACCATTCTGATGCATTTATTCTATTCAAGTATCATTATTTTTCAGGAAAACTTAGAAGATGAATATGAACCACGAAGAAGAGATCATATTTCTCACTTTATTTTGCGCCTTGCTTATTGCCAGTCGTGAGTACACCCCTCTACTCTCATGGTCAAATCTGTCTTGGGTTATAAATTGGTACATGGAAAGCGGACACATTGTATTAAACACAGGAAAATGTGGAATAACATCAGAAAGCAGTGGTTCATGGGTTGAGCACTGTTGCAGCAAATTAAAATAAGTTGTTTACTAAAAAATATTGAGAAAAACTATATCACAAAATGTTTTGCCTGTTGAAACAATTTTATGGGAGAGACTTCGTTTGGGATTTAAAATTGGAGGGGGTTTCATTAGGGAAAAGGACTTTTAGTATTTTTTTCCTCCAGGACACAAGTGCTACTATTTATAAGAAATAATGAATAAATGTATACTTGAATTTGATACAGGTTTTTAGAAGTTGAGATGTATGGTCTAGTGCCCATTAGATTAAGATGCTTTCTTTCCGTTGTTGGTGTCTTATAAGTCAATAGTGCCATCCGGAGGGAGAAGGAGTTAGTTGCTTTGTTTAAAAAATTTTTTTTTTCTATATTAATTTTGGCTACATAACATGCTTATTGTTAAGTTTCTTTTCTGCTTTTTATCAATAGGGTTATCAAATGAGAATCTTGAATTGTTTACTCTCCCAACAGAATAACTGAGAAATTACTGATCAGCCTTGGTCTTCTGTGAAAAAAAAAAAAAAATTCTATGCAGTTTATATAATCTATGCAGTAAATGAATTGCTGACAATTCATGAAAGCCCCTTTGGGAAAAAAATAATCACATTTTACATGCAGTAGCATTATTATTTTATAACAATAGTACTACCCATTATTTATCTGTTTTGTACATTGATACCTTTATGTTGGCTTTTAAAAAATTTAGATATACTTGTACATATTAGATTTTGTGAAATTATAAACTGTGAGTCTGTAAGCAAAGTTTACTTGTAATGTTTATCTGATCCTAATCTATTCAGAGATAAAGTTACCTTTTAAAAGTTTGGTGTTTATTTGGCGTTGATGAAACCACTTAAGACTGAGGGAGTACCCCTTTTCTAATGTCAGTGACTGTTTTGCGGTTACATTAAATGCAATTAATGATTTTATATTATTTGATAATAACATAGCTAGGTGCAAAGTGTTCTGCATTTAATTCTTCTAATTTTATGTTCATAACACCTCTCTCCCCACATTCAGCACATCTCCGGAAGATTGCAGTATGCGGTATTCATATTCTTTATCGTGACAAAGAGTTTGTATGCTTTTAACTTCTGCCTATTGGCATCTTCCTTGTGTTCAAATGTTGTTTCATAAAGATTTCTTGGATTTAGTCATCAGTGGACTTTTGAATAATCATTGGACTTTTCATTTGTGCTCATAATTTCCCTGTCTCCATTTCAGTGAAGATCTTAGACGCTGGTTCATTCAACAAGAAATGGATCTTCTTCGATTTCGATTCAATATTTTACCCAAGGACAAAATTCAGAATTTCTTAAAGGATAGCCATTTGCAGTTTGAGGCTGTAAGTACATTTTTGTAGAAAAGTGCACAGATCAATCCCTCCGTGCTGCTTTAAGTGCTGGTATTAATATGTGGAGTTCTCTCTTTTTACATTTTCTTCCTAAGTACCTGCTTGAAAGAATTGCTATTGGCTTTGCAGAGCAATGAACCTTTCTATGACTAGAAAAAAAGGGGCTTCTTAGTAACAAAGCCCCACATTTAATTGCTTTATTAAATATGTGATTTCTAAAAGTTTAATTTATATAAGTTCATCTTATCAAAATTTTCTAGGCCAAAAACTATTGCTAATAATGTGTTAAAGAAGAGAAGTGGTCATGCCGACTTGCAATAATGAACTTCAGAAAGGATAATGCTTGATTTTATTTTATTTATTTTATTTTGGTATCATTAATATACAATTACATGAGCAACATTGTGGTTACAAGACTCCCCCCATTATCAAGTCCCCCCCATATCCCATTATAGTCACTGTCCATCAGTGTAGTAAGATGCTGTAGAGTCACCACTTCTCTTCTCTGTGCTATACTGCCTTCGCCGTGATAATACTTTATTTTACAAGTCAGTTGTTAGTAAAATCTGATTTTCTGAGTAGATAGAAGACATTGTCTTGTCTGAGGAGTGGAAGAGGTACCCGCTGTAGCGAGAGAGAGTGTGGGTTGAGTTGGGGAAAAGAGACAGCATGGAGGGAAGTACACGTTGGGCAGACATTTAGTGTCAGCTTGGGCTAGAGAGGTGCCTTCTGCAGTTCCTCTCACTTATCATAAGAGCCCCGTGAGGTTTCTACGTAATATCTGTGGCGTAGAAACGTGTCAAGCCCCAGGACCATCTGACCCAAATGCTGTGCATTTTCCACTTTGCTTTTAACTTTGATCCTTAGTGAAGTCCATTATTGCTATTATCAAATACAGTTAATTTATCTTTTCATTATTAAAAATATTTTTTGTTGTTGAATGATTGATTAAAGTGTCCTTGAGAACATTTTTTTTATCTGAAAGTACCTCAACATATCAAGTATAATTTTTTTTCAGCAAAAGCTATAATGATTCTTTCCTTTTAAAAAAACTTTTATTATTGGGGTGTAACATTTACAGAAAAGTACACAAGTCACAACTGATAGCTCTCTGAAGTATCAAAGTGAACACCACCAAGGTAAAGAAATAGAACGGTGCTGTCAGCCTGTGCATCCTTGTCCTTCCTCCGGTTCCTTACCTCCTGTCTGCATCCTGCAAGTGACGGCTGTCCTCACAAGTAATGTCAGAATTCTGCCTGTTTTTGAACTTCATGCAAATAATATACACAGTATATCTTTCTCATGCTTATGGTCAAGAGATTTTTGCCTATGTTTTCTTCTAAGAATTTTATGGTTTCCTGTCTTACATTTAGGACTTCGATCCATTTCAAGTTTACTTTTGTGTATGGAGTTAGACAATAATCCAGTTTCATTCTCTTGCATGTAGCTGTCCAGTTTTGCTAACACTGGTTATTGAAAAGACTGTCTTTTCCTAGTTGTATATTCATGGCTCCTTTATTGCATATTAAATAAACATATCTGTGTCAGTTTATATTGGCTCTCTATTCTTTTCCATTAATGTATGGGTCTATTCTTGTACCAGTACCATACTGTTTTGATTATGGTAGCTTTGTAGTATAGCTTGAAGTCATGGAGCATAGTATCCCAGCTATGATAACTCCTTTTGTTAATGTAGTGTATCACATCGATTGATTTGTGGATATCAACTGTCCTTGCATCTCCGGGATAATTCCCACTTAGTCATGGTAAATGGTCCTGTATTCTGAACTTGTTTTTCTATTATTTTGCTCAAGATTTTTGCATTTATTTTCATTGAAGATGTTGTGTGTAATTTTCTTTGTGGTGTCTTTGGCTCGTTTTGGTATCAGGATAATGCTGGCCTTGTGGAGAAGTTTGGGAGCTTTCCTTTCTCTAACTTTTTTGAATAGTTTGATGATAGGTATTAAGAAAAATATTCAGTAGGGTTCACTTATGAAGCTATCTGGTCTTGTACTGTTTGTTGGGAGTTTTTGATTACTGATTCAATTTCATTACTAGTAAAGAGTCTGTTTAGATTTTCTATTCTTGATGCGTTCTTGCAAGATTGTATGTCACTAGAAATTTATCCATTTATTCTAGCTTGTTACATTTGTTGTTATATAATTGTTTGTAGTTGTTTCATATGCTCCTGTATATTTCTGGCTATCAGTAGTAGCTTCTCTTTCTTTTCAGATTTTATTTATTTGGATCTTCTCTTTTTCTTGATGAGTCTGGCTAAGAGTTTATTAATTTTGTTCTTCTTTTTAGGAAAGCAGTGTTATGGGTGCCCAGCTTCCTGGGGCAGGTTCCCCAGGCTGTGGAGCAGGTGTTGGGCTCGGATCCCCCCTTCCTCATGGAGGGCCTGCACGATTGTGGCATCCCACCTGCTTGTGGGTTTCTGCACCTCACTCAGCCACTGCTTTCCTCCTCCTGCCTGCCTTGATGTGGTGTTTTCTTTATGTTCTTAGTTGTGTATGATCTGCTTAGTCTTCAGTTTGTTCTCAGAGATAGTTCTGTATGTAGTTGTGGATTTTGCAGTCTTCATCGGAGGAGGGGAACTCACGATCTTTCTACTCTGCTATATTGATCCCACCCGATCCACAGTGATTTATATCTTAATGCCGACATTCTTGTATCAGAACCAAGAGTGCACTGTTCACTATGGTGACTTTTCTTCTTTTCTTTGTATTCCTTGACTTCCAGCTTTCATCTTTTATATATAGTGCTTCTAATTCATTATTTTTTCCTATTCTCTGAGGTCATGTTGTTCTCTTCTTTTCAGTACCCCTTTCTCCAGGGATTTAAGCTGAGCTGCTGCTGTTTCTCTTCTAAATCAGTTAATGCACTTTTATCTACTTTCCAAAAACATGTTGACCTCTCTCTTCCACTATTTTCTTTGTTCTTGGTGGTTTAAATTCTTTTCATACTTTCATTGTAATTTTAATTTTGTTGTAGAAGTGATGGAAATAAATATTCATGTTCAGTTTCCCATGCTTAACCAGAAGCCTCAATGACCTCAATAATCATAGTTTTAAATTTAGGGAACAAAGTTAAATTTTGTGAATGTGTTTTATTAATAGTGGTTAGCAGTCTGGGCTCTGCTGGTGTATTGTTGGGTTCTCCCACCAGCACATATCAGTGCTGAGAAAGCAGTCTTCCTGGGTCTCTCCAGGTCCTACACGTCTTGCTGGGCATGTCAGGAATATATGGTCGTGACAGCTCTTTACCCAGGCCGTTTCTTACCTACTTTTTCGCAAGCAAACATGAGGGATGAGGTAATATCTTCTTGGTATATAGAAGCGACTTGCTTGCTACTTGCTATAAAAGTGATTGGTTTTCAGTGTTACTCAGCTGTTAGTGCAAACCTGACAATACTTGAGCATCCATCTGGGCTATCTCATGCTGCCCCCAGGGAACTGGAGGGTAAAGAGTGAAACAGACACACTGCTTTTCTTGCTGCTTCCCGTGATGTGAATAATGAAGTTCTTCGTCTTGAATGTAGGAGTCTGTGTCTCCTGCCAGCATGCATTAAACAGTCACGGGCTAACATACTGGCTTATAAGTAGCATAACATTCAATCCCACACTTGAGAATCCCCTGTGTTATTTTGGGTAAATATTTTAATCTGCCCTTCAGTTTACTCATCTTTGAAATAGTGATCCAATCCCCACCACACAGATTTGTAAAGTGAGGTAGACTACATGAAGTGCTAAGTACTGTGCCCGGCAAGTATGTTAACTAGTAATATTATGGCAGATAAAGGCATCAAATGCCTAGGTATTGGAGAAATTGGGGGTTTATTAGTTGATATGTTCTGTTTCGGTTAAAAATCTTTGATGTTTTTAGAAAACAAATTTATGGGAAAGACGTGCATTCTTTTAACAAGTGTCAGCAGTTATGATTAGTTTTCATATTATTCTGATTGTTCCTAGTCAGTTTGCTAGGATTACTTTATATCCTGTTTCTAAAGGTCATTTGAAGTACATTATAAGCATATGTATCAAAGTAAGAAGAAATATGGATAAAATTGGGAGATTGACAGAATGGACCATACCCACATTTTTATGTCATGGGTGTCTTACACAGTTTCTGAAAGGAAGAGTTACTTTGGGTTCTTGTGTGCCTATTTTGTTGGGTTCAGTGATTCTCAGTGTGGGGTAGGATGGAGGCCTACCTGGGGGATTTATAAGAACCTTGCCTGGAGGTGTGTAGAGTGAAAAACATTATGCCTTTTGGTTTTGAAATAAACACTGTTAAATGTGAAACTTGACCAAGTGTAGCTGGCGGAAATGCATGGAAGATAAAAAACATTGCAGGGCCTTGGCAGAAAAACCCTTCCTGGGTTGGATTGCACCCACTCTCCTGACAGAGGCCCTTTCCCACCTTCTTCTGGTACCTCTGGTTCTCCTCCTGTGCATCTATCTAATCCTGGTATTTAAAGCACTTGAATCCAGGTGGTGTTGATTAGCTTGCTTGCCCTTAGATCCCTGTGGCTCTTCCATTTCCCAACTTTAACCATTCCATTAATAGGAACATGCACATTTTCTTCATCTTGATTTGAAAATTTGGTTTGCATCTGTTGTACTAAAACAGGTGTTAGTGATGCTTAGACTCAGGATTCATGTTTTAGAGTCAGAATGGAGCGAGGGCTAGGGAACAGTTATTAGCATTTGCCTTCTAAGCTCACTTTGATGTGTACTAGACGGTGCTGCCTAAGTCAGGGCTGAAGGCTCTTGGAGTCCACCTGGGTTTCAGGTGCTTGAGTGCTGTGTTTGTGTGTATTTCTCTTATCTCTTCAGTTTCATTAAAGCTGCAGTGACTTTTATGCTGATCTATTTCTGTAAAGTAGATTTATTTTTATGTTAGAAGGATATGCAGTTTTGTAACTAAATTGAATTGTGTTTGCTTTGAAGAAGTATGTACAGAAAGAGGGATAATTAATTTCTTTGCCT